AAGGAACTCTGAAGTATGGAGTGTTATTTCCCTCTGGAGGAAATAATGAGTCAGAACTTCTGAGTTATTCAGACTCTGATTGGTGTGGAGACAGAGTTGACAGAAGAAGTACATCTGGGTACTTGTTCAAATTTCTGGGAGGTTCCATTTCTTGGTGTTCCAAGAAGCAACCTATTGTGGCGTTGTCAACCTGTGAAGCTGAATACATTGCAGGTGCTGTTACTGCATGCCAAACTGTGTGGATTCTGAATCTGTTGCAGGATCTGAAGATTAAAGTAGACAAACCTCTGAAGTTGATGATTGACAACAAGTCTGCAATCAATCTTGCCATAAACCCAGTGTTGCATGGGAGAAGCAAGCATATTGAGACCAAATATCATTTTCTGAGACATCAAGTTCAGAGTGGAGTGTTAGAAGTTGTACACTGCAGCACTCAGAAGCAGTTGGCAGATGTTCTGACGAAAGCTATCAAGACTGATCAATTTCTCAGACTAAGGGATGGAATTGGTGTTACAAGTTTTGATGGAATATGAATTAAGGGATGGTATTAGAATATTAATAGTAATTCATATTTATTTAGTTGTACTATTTTTCTTAGCCCCTAAGTTTGTTAGAGGGTATTTTAGTATTTTATCTTTTTCTAGTAACCCTAATTTTAGCTTATAAATAGGGTGACAATCATTGTAACTTTTATCATGTTTTTGTAGCCGTTATTCTTAATAGAATATTTCCTTTATTCACCTTTGCACCAACAATTTGTTGAGGCTATGGATGTCATACTTTTGTTTAATTCTGCTGTTTGGATTATATTTTTTTATTAAATGAAGTAACATCCAGACTTCTTGGATTATGAAGTGACATCCTACTTAGAGATAATTATATTTTATTTATTAATTATTAAGTCGGAAAGTAGGGCGTTACATAGTGGTATTATAATATGTTGGTTTATCCGGCCGAATGTTATAATGTGTCAGTAATATACGACCGGTGTGTGAACACGGTTGAGTCAAATTTCTTCTAGTCCTTATTTCTTGAGGTTGTTGAGAATATAATTGGGAGAAATGATGGTGCTATTACTACCGTTTTGCAAGCAATGGCTCAAGTTGTGCATAACAACCATAATGGAGCGAATGATGAGTTTCGCAACTTAGAAAAATTTCACAGAAATAACCTACCTACCTTCAAAGACATGTATGATCCGGATGGAGCGCAGCCTTAGATAATAGACATTGAAAAGAATTTAAAGTGGCGACATAAATTCATTGGTTGAATCTTCTAGAGGTAATAAGCTGCCCAAGTAGTGAAATGTACTAGTCTAATAATTTTTTTATCTCAGGAGGTTTAAGAGGGCAGATTTGATCTTTTCTTTGCTAGAAGAGTACCACTTTTCACCTTTGGGTGGCCCACTCTAGAATTAAAGCAAGCGCCTATCCGCTGATTTTTTATCGGCCGGGATGTATGCTCTTAACAATATGACAAACAAACAAATATATATATATATATATATATATATATATATATATATATATATATATATATATATATATATATATATATATATATATATATATATATATATATATATATATATATATATATATATATATATAATTTAAGAATTTAATGAATACTTATATGAAAATAACCGAGAAATTAATCTGCCACCCTCTCACTTATATCTGACACTTTTCAATTATGGTTGAATTTTAATTTTGTCTTTTAAAATTTTTCGAGAATTATGAAATTTATAAGAGTTTGTTTGGATTGATGGAAAAGGATAGAATGAAGTGGAGTGGAGTTATGTTCCATTGTTTGAATTTACAAAAATTGAATGGAATGGAGTACGATGGAACACATTTCATCCAATACCACTATTTTGCCTCATTTTTCATTCCCCAAATTGAGGTGGATCCGATAATGAAATCAATTAATAAAACAATTACAATTTTATCCTCCAAATTTTCACTTACCATTGTTATTTCTTATTTCAATCAACGTGATATTTTTCTATTCATTCAGTGCAACTTTCTTCTGCCCTGACAAGATATATCATATTTCTTCTCATTTTTTTACCTGTATTTATATGTGTGCTCTATTAAATTAACTATTTTGATTTATCTTTATGTTCATGTCTTTTTCATTTTTCAGAAATTAGGTATAGTTACTAAAAACAAAACTTAAAATTATGATTTATGTTACTTTATAGTGTTTTGTATATTAAATTAACTTTTTATTAAGAACAAAAGTAGAAATTAGATTTATTGCAAAACTACATGTTGCTTTTCACTACTATTCACGTTGATTGTATTACTATTCACGTTGATTGTATTCTTATAATAACCATGTTTCATTTATGAACGGTATGTTTTAATTTTTTTCAAGTGTTAAGTTGATATTTTTCTATAATTACTTATATATTATTTTAGTGTGAGAATATTGGATCTATCAATATTGTAGCAAAAGATAAAAATGGAATTAAAAAAGTGCATATTAGTTCTGCTCCGTTGTAAAATATTCAAAAAATGGAATAAAGTTTATATTCCGTTCCATTCCACTTCATCCTATTCTGTTCCGCTCCGTTATTTTTAAATTATCCAAACATAGCTTAAATGTATACTGAAAATTTTGTGATATATACCAAAAACTTTGAAAATTTTTAATTTTCTACTGGAAATTTTGAAATTTTTAATAAAAAATAAAAAATACCGGAAATTTCAAAATTTTTATAAAATAAAATAAAAATTTTTCACAATCGAAAATTTCAAAATTTCTAATACAATACCACCAATTTCAAAATTTTTCACACATTACTAAAAATTTACGATAATGTAAAAAATTTTCAGTTGTTTCAAGTTTTTTCAAGAACAACTTTAAAATTATGAAAGCTTGGGGAGTGTTTGGTATAATTTGTTTGGGAGGCGGTGGCAGGTTAAATTCTCCTTGCAACTGCTTCTTGTTCCTACTCAAGTTTGAGAGGATATCATCATGGACTTTATCACCAATTTGTCTTCCTCCTTCAACAAAATTGTCATCTGGGTTGTGGTTGATCGATTCAATAAGTATGCTCACTTTATAACTTTGCCTACCTACTTCAATGCAGCTTGCAAAGGTCTTTGAAAAATTTATTGCCTTCATGGCAATACCAAAGAAAATTGTTAGAGACAATTGATTAGTGACCGGGATAAATTTTCATAAGCGAATTTTGGAAAGAATTATTTAAACCTCTCGGGACTACCATCCCCAAATAGACGGCTAGACTGAATTTCTCAATCAATGTCTTGAAACGTATCTTAGTTGCTTTGTCAGCAAAGCACATGCAACAATGGACATGCTACGCTACCTATTACTTGCTGAGTTTTTGTATAGCTATCTCATCATTCTGCTATTGGGATGACCTCGTTTCAGGCGCTATATGGTTGTGTTCCATCGACACACACATCATATGTATTGCAGATTCTTCCAAAATTGCATCTATGGATGGACTTGAATCACGCGTGATGAAAAACTGCAGCTGCTCAAACAAAACCTAGACCGAGCACAACATCGAATCTGTAACACTGCATAAACTTTAATTCATTAGAAGAGAGAACTGTCTTCTAATCATAATTCTTAGGAAGCAGTTAGGAGTAAGTATCTGTATTGTTGATACAAATTAATGAAACAGAAAATAATTCAACAGAAAAGTTCCAAGTCTTTCCCCTTTCTTAGGAGATAGTTCCTTCTCTTAGTGGAACAACTAATAGCAAAATTTACAACACCCTATCATACCATTTGTTGAATCAATTCATGTTGTTGAATGTCCCTGTCAGATGCACTGTATAAGCCGTCAAACTGATAGTAGCATGAAATGCATGTACATGAGCGTTGTTTTGGTCGTGGAGGGACGTGTGGGACGTGTGGGACAGTCGTAATTGAACCTACCCACATATCACGATCCTTATCACCACTATGAACAACATAGATAACTGTCACAGGCTTTCAAAGGGTAGCATCATTAGTCATGGTTCTTTGGGTAAGCAAACTTTGTGCTCCCTTAGAAACTCTACAGCATTAGTATCTATAGAAGGGACATAGTTTCTATTCGGCAAGGTATCTCTTGACAATCTCTAACTTTGAACAACGTTTTATGATTAAATTGATCAAGCTTAATGGTGTTATCAACTTCTTGGGCAGCCAAGAGTGAAATCTTGGAATCATCATGTAAAATAGCAAGTGTTTGGTCCAAGAATTCAGAAAACCATAATAATACTCTTCAATATAACTGATCATATCCAATTCCATTGGAAAACATTTGGCCATATTATCTTGATTGTAAATGCACTATCTCATTTATTGAGCAATTGTAAAAGAGCACAAACTAGTTGCAAACCATTTTATAAAGCTAAAAGTTACTTAGAAAATTGTAAGTAATGAGAAACTATATACTTTGCACTATTTTATTTTAGAACAAATGAGGTTGAAGTATGAAGTTGCATCCCAAATTTGAAAAACATATAAAAGCAAGAGAGAAATAGAGATAAACAAATACGATGTCGATTGTACATACCGTGTATGCATTTTGAAGTACATATTACACAACTATAAAATAAAAAACTATACTAGGATATAACATCTATTTAGTTGGACAATGACATTGTCCAATGCAGAGACTATCTTCAGGCATCAATTTCATCAGTATGTTAATTTACTGTCTTCTGGGGTCACAGTATTTTCTCAGGGATTATCTGGTCCTTTTTACTTCCTGTAATTATCAATAATGCGGATTTTAAGCTCAATGGGCAGCAGAAATACTAAAAGCACATTGTTTCCAATGTACTACTTTATATTAGGTGAATTTCATGCGAGTCTCAACAAAAAGAGTGGGTCTAAAAAATTTAGTGACACTCACATAATAATCGCATAATAACAAAGAGACTATTAAATAGTGTCTAAGAACATATCACTCACAGATTTGAATAATCATACCAGTATAGCACACTTTTTGTTGATTAACACCATTGCTATGTTGCATCAGCAGAAATCCCCTTATATTTGTTTTCTGCCCTACCATCAATAATCATTGCCGTTTCTAAATAAATTAATAGAAGGAAGAGAGAACATTTATTTGTTTAGTAGTTAAGGATTCTTTCTTATTAGGATAGTCACATTAAGACAGAACATTAACTTAACAGTTAGAGGATACTGCCAGTTGAAGAAGAATGTTGTTTCATGCCTATTTCGTCTCAAATAAAAGTGATAAAAAATCGAGAAAAAGAAACTGCTATATATACTTGCCTGTCACTATGGTGCACTAAAATAAGGTAAGCGGGATCCTGATAAGATATTTGGAACAATTGCCATACAACGTAGATGCATGAAGTGATGCTGAAAATTTGGAAATGTAAATAACCGTCAGCCACATAATAATATGTTATAGATAGAACTTAGAAGCTAATGAAGCATGAACCTTATGATAGAGGGTATAAGATTAAAGGGACATGCACACAAGAATGAAAGGTGTATATGACACTTCTCTTTCAAAGCTATAATCTAAAATTACAAATTTACTTTTGAATCTCCATGTTTAACACACATTTCTCGTCTTCTCCATTATTTTGAATTAAATCTAACTAACACCGCACAGACCGGTTGCATTTGACATTTATGATATGACTAAATGACATCGCTTGTCTCTGCTTCCGAAATGTGCTTTAGGGAATAGAACCCTGTAAGCCCACTTGTCTAGGAATGAATTATGTGCCTCAATTTTTTAATAATGAAAAAGGAAGCATAACCTCAACTCCAAACAAGCATAGCATAAGGAAATTCAATTTGAAAAAGGGATGTTGCTGAAAAGAGTCTGTCTCTGGCATTCCTGACCCAGCTATTCAGCATTTATCATGTTATAGAAAAGAGCTTTTGCCAAATTGGTACAAAACTTACTTAGAAGCACCTGTCGTCACATCTCAAAAGAGACTACATTGAATTCTAATTTTCCCTATGCTCCTTTTTGCTGTTGTTAATGGTCAAGGAAAGTCCTCAAATTAACATGTTTAAGAATTTGAAAGAGAAAACTAAGCCATGTGGATTAAAAGTTTATACAACAACTTCCTACATGTATATGTTAACTGGCATAAGAGATAATCAGTTCTAAAACGGTCTTTTTACTTTCATGCATTTTCTTGAATATCCCCAAAATAAAAAGCACCAATATAGGGTAGAATGACATGTTTTTAGTAATATATAAACCATACATCATTTTCTCACGACTAACCAAAATGTGAAGTCCAAACCAAAGTACAGTCGAAAATTAAACAATGAAAATTGTAACCTATGTCATAAAACTAAAATTATTTAACATTCTAAGTTAAATTATATACAAATAATAGATGATTTTAATCACCGATCAGTAAGCAAACATAAAATAGTGTGGACTAACCTGCCAAAACATATCAATAGAATAACCCAAAAGACAGCATAAATCCAACTAGATTCTTTGTAGGCCACCCAGACCTGTTATTGTATGAATAGTTAAGAACTTATGATAATTAAATCCAAACGAAAACAAGTGTACTGAATACTGATATTGATATTAAAACTTTTACATTTATACATTATTGATCATAACCCCTTGTTCACAAATTTTTGACTTTGATTATCTTAAGAGCATTTAGTGACCCCTTGTCAGTCATAAGATAGATCACGGAGAGGAGTATTGACAATTTCATTGAATTAAGTCTCTGCTATAACTTATAAGCCCAAAAGTAGCTATAATGTCAACAGTCTTAAAATCTATTTGTGGACAAGCAGAAACAATTTTAAGTGGCTTCTTGAATATTAATCCTCCAAGTCAACGAAATAAATTTATACTTCATATACTCTTTACAATTTAGAGCAGCTAAGATAAAAAAAATGTAGACTTACTGCTAGGGCCACAACATTGATGTAGAAGTCAACTAGTGTTGCTTTCATCCACCTGCAAACATTTACAAACTTATGAAGTTCACTTATATGATAAACAACTGCCACAAGCAGAAGCTCTGCAGCAACTTAAATATATACTTGAATGACACACAGAAATAACATGCTTTGCCTTTGTCAGCATTTCAATTAGGAAAATGAAGAAAGAAAAACACACTTTATAGGTCACAACTTTCAAATCAATTTGTCCATACTGCACTCTATGTTTACCAATTATGATCTAACGATTGACGATGCATACACTTTCAAATGTTCACCAACAGATAGTTTACATATAATATAAGTATATTACGGGAATAAGTTTTTATAAATGATTTATTATAATATTATCTTATTTGGATTTACTAAGATCAATTCAGGAGAATACTTGAAAAAGTAGAATAGGCTTCAAAAGCTGTAGAAATATAAATATTTGAAACTAATATAGTATTGATGGTTGTGCATTTAGCACCAAAGTAAAATGATGAAGATTGCCGCCATTCTTCCACACGCCATGTAAATTTGTGCCAGTCTTCTTCAAACAACGGTTTCTAAGGTCTTACAAGGTTCGTGATTCATGAAGAAGCCACTCCATTACAATAATTTGCAAAAATTTAACCCAAAATAAGAGAGTAAAAAATCATTGATAGCTTTTTGAGAATAGAGAAATTCAGTGAACTATATAGAAGACAGTACATAGAACATGGAATGTGAGTGATAATGATGTTAAGTATTGTTTTTCACTGAACCAGAATACCTAAGTTAGGTATTGTGACGGAAGACAAATATTGCTTTTAACAAGATGAAAAAGTAAGCTCCATCCATGCAGTTCATGCTGATATCAGAAGGGTTCAACAGCCGTATGTTGACAACAAGGATAACAACATCATGAATAACAATGACAAATAGTAAGCACTTACGGAGTCAATAGCTCCGTACGGAAAGGAGAACCATCAGTGACAAGAGTGTATACCAAGGTTCCAAGCATGACAACACCCAAAACGCTGAAAAGGATTCTTAGAGCCACAACAACAGAACACTTTGTTTTTGGTTCTGTGCCACTCCTGTATAGAAAACGTCACGTTATATAAGAACTGATGGTGAAAATCAAAACATTAAAAATCATACGGAAAACTAAATACTAAAACATGAAATTGGATTCTTAAAATATCATCCTGCACCTTTTCTTCATATATGTTTACGGAACATTACTTTATGGTGAATCAGATTAGAGAGAAAATTACTCTATAGTTGTTTTTTTTTGTAGACATACTTGTGTGGATGTCGTAAAAGAACATAGCTCATAGGGTCCTGTGAAGATTCTTGAGATGACAGCTTCAAAAATTGCAACACAATATAGGCAGATGTAGTAATGCTGAAACAAAAAAAAAACAAAAAAATCCTCTCCTTGCTTAGATTATCTTGCTAAAAAGAGATTCCTCTCATTGTTTATATTATAGATAGGCTTTATAAGTAAAATTGTGATATTTGAGGTAATAACGCAAACACTAGTGAACATCGAATCATGAGAGAAAATGATATACCTTCCAAGGGAGATAAGTAAAATTATCCATATAATTGAGCTGACCCAATTTGCTTCCTTGTACACAACCCAGGCCTGATATGACAGAAAAACATATGTCAGAGCTGATGAAACTTCAGATGGAAAGCGATTTTTACACATTATTAACTAGACAATTTTCCATTAAGCATTATTCATGCTTTAAAGGAAATGTGGTTTTAAATTTGAAAAACTATAAACGGATTCAGCATAAGAAAATTGACTGGATACATCATAAAAAATAACTAAAAATCACACGTCTCTTCAACTTGACTAAAGCTTTCTTTGGATGAACAAGTTAATAACCATTTATCATGTAAGGGTTTATGAATAAGTTATTTACATACAATATATAACATAAAATCAAACTTTAAAAGCTGCTTATTATCAATGTCGCCGTGTCGTGTTCACGTGTCTGAGTAGACTATAGAGTAAATTAGTTAGACTTACACTCAAAATTGTAACGTTGATATAGAAATCAATCAAAGTTGCTGCCATCCACCTGAATCAAATAATGTATCATTTCTATTGTTTATGATCGTTCTATTGTATAATTACCAAAATAAAAATAAACATGAACAAAGAAAACAGAGCAACGTAGCAAGAGAGAGATTACGGAGTGAGAAGTTCTTTGCGAAAGGGGAAACCGTCGGTAATGAGTGTGTAAAGAAGGAGAGCAAGCATGAGAGCACCGAGAACAGTGAACAGAGTTTTCAAGCCATTTGATAAAGAAATTGTCGCCATTGATAGTTGGAGGTACGGAAAGTTTTGCAGTAGGAGAAAAGAAGGAACAATAAGAAGAAGAGTGTGTTCGGGAAATAAATAGATAACGCGGGGACAGCAGAGAACCACGTTGCAACTTGCTTGCTTAAGAGGAAAAATCAAAGATGCGTACTCTTCTGATTATGAATTTATACTCTTAGAATTTGAACTGTCAAAATGTCAAAATTTTCTAAAATTCTGAAAATATATCTTCAGATGTATTCAATTTTGATTTAATGTTAAAATATTTTAGAGATGATTTTTTGAAAGATATTGAAGTTTAAATTCCGTCATAACCATTTTCATTCCTCATTTAAAAAAAATATATAAAGTTTGCTTAAACTCTCAAAATATTTTCAATCAACCAATTTTCAAATCAAACAACCAAGCTCAGAGATTCTACAATCAACAAGTGCATTAGTGACATCACCCAAGTTTAAAGTAAACTCTAATTTGTGACTTTTTTGATCTTTTGAAAAGTTTGAGTTTTTGTGTAAATGAGTAGAAATTGATGATTAAGGTAAGAAATGAGTAGAATTTGCATGAATGATAGTTTAAACATAGTATAAAACATGTTTGTTGGTTAAAAATCATGATCAAACCATTATTTTTGGGGTTTGCATATTTGCACTGCCGCCATTGACGGACCTAAAGAGTTACTACAAATTCTAGAGATGCATCTTCGAAATTTTTCAACGTTTAAGTTTCCTTGTAACCGGATATGCATCTCCGAAAATTAGCAGTCTATTTTATTTTTTGTTTTTCTTGCTTGTAGTATTGCTTGTTTACACTAATTGTCTGATCTACTTTTACTTACAGGTATTATGGCTGATAGACACGATAGATTGAGGCATGAGAGGAATGTAGAACATGTATCAGTGCGGTGGGAGAAGAATTAGGTTTCAGAGGCTCCTGTTCACTCTGACCATGCAGAGACACCCTATTGTCTCTGCCCCTCCTATTTTGACACGTAGACAGATGGATGACATGTTTAATGATTATGAGATCATATGGTATCAAAGAAGGCACGAAGTGCCATAGCTGAGAGCGCTTGGAGCTACGTCGACGAGTACATCACGTGGTTCTTCAGGGTGTCACATATATACATGATGCCTGCTGCTCTAGTGAGATCCACCGAGACCAGCTTATCAGATTATACTAGAGGAGAAGCAGACACAGTTAGATCGTGTTCATGATCTCTTGCCTAGATATCGTCACATAGTATAGATTGCGCAGACAAACATTGACAAAGGTATCTTTCCTAATGGTTCTAATGTGAGGTATGTCCTAGATGCCATCATGATGAAGTCACAAGGGGCATTGATGTACTAAATACATCGCCGAGGACGGCGGTATTGAAGACCGATGAGTCAGAGGAGGCAGATGAGATGTAGTCTGACATACACGGTAGCGCAGTAATATATAGTAGTTGTACTTTTGATTTATTATGGATTGTATTTTATTTTCACTTCATGCTACTTTATTGTCTATTTCGACTTTATTTATATATGTCATTTTTGGACCATCTGGATCTATGTACGTCATTTTCTACATAACATAGTCCATAACATTTATAAACCTTGAACTAAATAAACATAAACAAAACATAACAGTCAGTGTTATGATATGTTACAGAGATACATCTCCGTAAAATAAACGAAGATGCATATTTGAAATAATTAAGTGTAGAATGCCTTCAGGGTGGGTGGAATACCTTTCGTAATTTTAAAATATTACGGAGATGTATCTCCAAAATAGTTAACGTTTATATTTTAAACAAGGTGCGTTCGGAGATGCATCTTCGAAATCTGAGAGGCATTTTGAGTTTCCTACAAGGTGTTTTTCCACCTCATAGGATGCCATAAGAAATCCAAAAAAAAATAAAAATTGGATGGGTCTAAATGGTCCAACGGATTCAATGGGTGTTCATGATAAATTAAGTTGGAGCATTTAACTTGTGAAGTACCTGACACCCAGACTCAATAAATTGACTTTATTATCCTTGAAAAATTTTCACTCATTTTCAACATCTACTCAACATTTTTGCAAATTTCAAAAATTCGGAGCGATGCCGAAATTTTGAAATTAGTAAGTATTTTTTCAGAAATTTCAAAATTTTCGTGAAAATCATTTGAATTTGTAGCAGGAATTTTAGAAATTTCAATATTTTTAAATACATTTTTTCAAAAATTTCAGAATTTCTAGTACTTTCATATGCATTATTTTCGGAAATTTCTAAATTTCCAGTAGTTAAAAAAATGGATTTCCCCAGAAATTTAAGAACTTCCAATGAAATGTGGGAAATTTCAAAAATTTTGGAATTTAATTGATTTTTTGTTTTTTTTTCCTCGTTTTTGCAGTGAAATACAGGGGAAAGGACGACACCATTGTAGGCAAGGCCACAAGTAGAGCTGCAACCCAAGCTAGGGCTGTTGAGGCTGAGTCTTCCTGACTACGGGCTGGACCAGTAGTTCCAACCTGTTCACATCAAAAATGGTTGGCTGAGCAAGGTCAGTTTTGTGCATCTAGTAACACCCAACATCGAGTGGTGATACCTGATGAGCAACCTAGAGATGATGTTGAGGTTGTTCATGCTCAGGAGGTGTAGGTTTAGAATGTTCATGATCCAACGGTTGAGACGGATGCGATACATGTTGCTGCTGAAGTGGCTGATGAGCTGGTCCAGCCAGATGCCCTTGTTGCAGATGAGGTGGCCCATCCAGATGTCCCTATGGCTGATGAGGCGACTGCCACAACCGCGGTCCCTTCTGCTACTGCTGATATAGAGGTTACGACTCCTGCTTCAATGGAGTCGTCTGTGCACACTGATGGAGCGTTTCGGGAAGGACCCATTGACTAATCGGTTCTTACCTGGTATGTTGACCATGTGGCATATCGACTATGGCATGGATATATATATATATATATATATATATATATATATATATATATATATATATATATATATATATATATATATATATATATATATATATATATATATATATATATATATATATATATATATATATATATATATATATATATATATATATATATAATATTATGTTTAACTTTAGTTTATTTATTATTGTTTCGTGATGTGTTGAAATGTAACTTACAAGTTTTTAAATTTGGTTGTTACATGACCGCCTCCCTCTGAAGGTGACGTCCGACAAGTTGAAGTTGAAGAACTTCCCCAAGACTATGATGCCTAAGCAGGTCATATGAATTATACATGATTTTGATCTTCTCACATTTGTCGACTGCTCACTTACAATGCTCGACGCTCCACTTCTTACTGCTTTTGTTGAGCGATGGCAGAAAGAGACATCTTCCTTTCATCTTCCATTTGGGGAGATGACTATCACTCTAGATGATGTCTCCTCAGTATTCCATCTCCTCATCGTTGGCAGATTATTCACGGCTTTTGTTATCAGCCAGTCGCTTGCATGTATGGTGGTTGTACGAGATTTGGGAGTTTCAGAGGAGGTTGTGCTAGAAAAAATTTGATTTTAACAGAGGAGTCCATCTTCAGATGTCTTGACTTCGAGAATATGTACAAAGAGCACAAATATATAACATTGCAGCTAAGTTGTATATGCTAGAAACTTCAGTTGAAAAGTGATTCTGGCACATTATCAATTAAATCGTGTTCCTTTAAGCATTGGTCATATTTTAAAAGAAATTTGATTTTAAATTTGAAAACTTGTCAGGAGAAAACTGATGTGTTATATCACAAAAACAACTAGAAAATAAACATCACCTAAACTAGTCTAAGGTTTTGTTTGGATAAAAAAACTTAATTAACCATTTATGATATAAGGGTTTATGAATAAGTTATTTATATAACAATATATAAAATAAAACTAAACTGAATTGTTTTCGTGTAAGTTGGTTTCATAAGCTATCCTAAAGAGTTTATGGACATGTTATAAATTGTTTCCATAAACTCTTTAAAAGAGTCTTACAAGTAAGGTTTTAAAAAATGAGTTTTACATGTAAAAACAACCGAAAATAATATTGGAAGTTGTCGACATTGATACTGTTATTTGTCGTTTTTATGATGAAAAAGAAATTGTGATTAGTTCACACCATGACGATGCAGATAGTATCGCAACACCTCTACCAACTAAAATCGCGAAGTTTTTACGCAACCGCAATGTGATGTCGACCGTTATTTAAAACTTTGTTTGCAAGAACTTATGCGCTAATAAATAAGCTCAAACAAATCAATTCAAACATCCCCTAATACTCATTAAAAATTATAGGGGAAGCACACACCAACACAAGTAATAAGTTTTCAGCATAAATATTGCACAACAAGATCAGTGTAGCAGTGTGCATGGATAACCATTTAATGTGAACCAATCCATTTTTATGGTTATGGTTTATAAACCAAACCACTTGTTACAAGAACCTGTTTAAAACTTATAACCAGTTTAAAACCGGTTCTAAATTGGTTTTGATTTAATCCAAATAATCTAATTAAATTTAAAATTTATTTCCTTTAAATTAATATCAATTTTTAAATTTAAAAACTTCAAATAAATTTTATGAGTCTTTTAAATATATATATATTTTTAAAATACAATTTTTTTTGAAAAAAAAATGTTATTACGAAAAATTTAAAAAAAAACTAGAAAAAGTTTCTAAAAAAAATTATTCTGAAATAAATAATAATTTATTTTTAAAAAAATTATTCCAAAAAAAATTCCAAAATTAAAAATATTGAAAATATAAAAATTTTATTCTGAAAATTAAAATTTTATTCCAAAAATAAAATAAAAAAATCTAAACAATTTTTTTCATAAATAGAACAAGTTTAATTTTGAAAGCAACATATACAAAATAATTAGAAGTGTGCTAGATGCGACTGGATAAAAATAATTTTGAAATAAATTAGGGATTCTTTATTGAAAATTTAAAAGTCACACTATCCAAAGTAATGATATCTAGTATGAATTTAATAGTTGCTACAT